ATGTATGTAGTATGTATATTAGACTGCATCACAAAAAAAAGTTGCGGTTTTTCCGCCGGGATTATTATATCTATTATATTTTAAGACGTCCACCAAAATATTTCGGAAAAATATTAAGATTTAAGCGAGCTGGACCGATTTGAAAATACCTCCAAAAATTAAGCTTTTTATGAATAAAAATAGTTTCTTAAAGAACTTTTTCAAAAAAGTCCCCTTAGATGACAAATTAGATTAAGCTTAAGAAATCTGCATAAAAATATTTAAAAATGCTTTCAACGGAATCGTAAGAATGAAATTTTTGATGCTTTTTTTTCACTTTTTTCAAAGATTGGTTTACGAAAAACTTGAATAACTGGGTCAAAAATGTTCTGATTTAGACTTGTGGGATCTCAGTAGAAAGGTATTTTCACACTGTGTTTATTTCTGGCCAAAAAAACGTCATTCGTGTCCCATCTTGATTTTTCGAATACCAACACATCTTAATTCCACTTTGAATGACGTTCGTTCATCCTACCTTTCTCTTCCATCGTTTGAATGAGTTTACTAGCAAAGAAATAAAAAGGGTGAGAAAATACCTTTCCAATGATATCTCACAAGTCTAAATCGGGAGAGTTTAGGCTCAGTTATTCAAGTTTTTCTTATACCAATCTTTGAAAAAAGTTAAAAACAGCATCAAAAATCTCATTATCACGATTCCGTTCAAATTTTTTTTTTAAATTTTTTAAAAATATTTTTATGCAAATTTTTTAAGCTTAAACCATTTTGTCATTTGAGGGGATTTTTTCAAAAAAAATCTTTAAGAAACTATATTTATTCATAAAAAACTCCTTTTTTGGAGGTATTTTCAAATCGGTCCAGCTCACTTAAATCTTAATATTTTTCCGAAATATTTTGATGGACGTCTTAAAATATAATAAATTTTATAATTCCAATGGAAAAATAGTACCGATTTTTTTTGTATGGGGAGTGATGCAGTCTAATGTATATATGTACATACATTGTACATGTATTTTTCTACTTCCCAGCCAGCAAG